TCCTTAACAATTAATATTCGCATTGATAGAAAATGAAGCTTATGTTGGCAATGGTACGCTACATCATGCTGCAGCATTTAACGGCATTGCATCGACTCCTCATTTAACACCTAGTTTTGTTACTTGGGACTTGAGTCCTCAACTTCTTGCTTTTGCTATTCACATGTCCTCTCAGCTATGTAAGTAGCCACTCAGCCCTTACGTATCTTATTTTTTGCACATATTTTATTTAATTGGTCAGCTGCTTTATTGACAGCCGCATGGAAACTAAAGGAAGTGAAATTAATCATTCAGACTAATCACATGTTCTAGACCCTGAAACATACCAGGCTCGAGATCAGCAACCAGACGTGGCACAAATGTCAAATATTGATGAGCCAGAATTTCTTAAACAAAATTATACTTAGTTTATATCCTCTCGAAACATGCTTATATCCGCTGTGTGTATCACTTAAGGGGGCAAATACCTCTGTTTTTGGACAGACTTTATAACTTGCTTTTTATTTATTTACCGTAAATATGACAAAGAATTGGTTAGATCTTCAGCCGATAAGTCATGCGAATGGATTACCCAACCTTTGATCACTCTAGCTCACCTGCACCTGGTTGGTGTCACATCATGCCACTTGCTCAGGCATTGTTCATTCTCTCCTTACAGAAACGAGGTCAAGTCGTGCCAACTCAAAAGTGTTGCATCGAGAGTACAGCCTCAGATAAGGGATCTTGTGAACTTTTACTACTCTTAAGTGTCATAATCTTTGCAAAATAAGCTTAAACCAGATGAACACATCTCTTTAAAGTGTTACTTTCTGTCAAAAGGCATTGTAACCCGCATTTAGGTTTCCCATACAACCAAGCCTTCTCTTCTACTTCTCGTCGACACTGCTATGCTCTTCCCTTCCATAATGCCGTCCAACATCCCAATCTCGGCGACTGTCAAGGCTTGTCAGGCAGTTTGCCATCTCAACTTGAGTGTACGCACATAGTGTCTAAGACTGATTTCGCCTATGCATTTAGAATACTCCTTTTGTTCTCTTGACAACCCACGGTTTCATTCGACCTAGATGGTAGTGTGCCTAAGACGTCATACTTTGTAGAAAAAGATGGGCGGAAAACCTTTTTAAATGCCGTCTGCCACATTTTCAAAAGCCGACCTCCAATAGGGCGTATATCTATCTCTCCTGATGAAAACGGGTTTTCGTCAAACGTTTTACCCAGACTTGAATTCACTCCCTCTTGCTGTACTTCTGCATCCCTCTCTACTGCAAATTCCGAGTGTACTATCATGTAGTGCATGCTTCGTCAGAAGGAGCAGTTACCTCTGCAATACTGAGATGAGGCTAAATGAGTGATGCACTTGTCCTCAAGCATGTGTTAAAACACGGCATGGGATTTGTCACTGAGGGCTGTTGACCATTTCCCCTGAGGTTTGCCCACACTGACGTCTGACAGCAATGCTTCAACACCAATGCCAACCATTCATTCACCTGCCAGTCCCCCATTATTAGCTTTGATGGAGAGTTGTGAAGATGTTGAGTGCTCTTTTTCCCTCTACTTTGGTTCTTTTTGTCAATCACAGTTGTTATCCAGGCGGTAATGCACTTGTCACATGAGCATGTTGCTCATTAAGCATACATATTTATGTGGCCGTTCGGTACTGCCGTCTGGAAGAAAAAAGTCACATTACAAGGGCAGAAAATGCCCTGACAAGGTAGAGATGAGTATAGGGGTGGATAATGCCATGCCTTGGGTGCCATGCCACCTACAAAAAGCACAAAGGGGGAAACTTTAGTTCCCACGTTAAACAAGCAGTAAAGGAGTTGCAGTTTGCCACTTGCATAATAAAGTGTAGCTGGATTGCATTTGCAAAACTTGAGTTTTCAGAGGTGCGGAACCTTGACTTTTGCTGTTCGGTATGGATTAAATAGCGGTTGACATCTCCATTCACTACTACTACTTTCTCGATTCCTCTCAATAAACCGACATTTTCACGGATTATACTACGATTTAGGCCTATCAAAATATGTAATCTGCTCATTTTGAGCTTACACGACAACTAACTAATGCCTTTTTGAAACTGTGTATATGTTATGGTTTTTTGCCACAACCCGATCCCTTCATTTAGGAACAAAAATAAAGGAGAACAACATATATCGCTGACTTAATATTAAAACTGCCTATTAGTAAAATGACGAGTTAAGTGCTCCAGCTATTTCATCTAACTGCCACATTTTCAAACCCCTATTAAGCTGTTCCTTCCAATTAAATAGCAGCATTGCATTTCACACAGTCAACATTCATTACGAGCATGGAAGCAGCTGCATTGTTATCAAGGCATAAACAGAAGGACGCTGAAGTGTGCTTTTGTTAACCACTTGCCTACCAACGCCTCACATGAACTCGAATATCACATTGTTTAACATTTTAAAAGCATCATGTAGAAGTAAATTGGTTTCTTCCAGTGTCTGCTGATCCATGCTAGTTACGATTGAAGCACAGTTGCCACTTTCTTCGGACCTGTCTACTTCAAAAACTGACAGAAGCCGTCTATGTCAAAGGCATAATTTAAATCCACCCTCCTGTGATCAATGGTGCTATAATTACAGTTGTAAATGCACCTTTTCCCATTTCTTATCTACAACTCCAAGATTGACACTTTCAAGCATGTTCTAAAGAGGGTGGCCAACAAGAATTAAATTTAAATCATCGACCTCGTTAGTGACGTTAAACAAACTTGAATTAGTGTATTTTAGCACCTTTGGATTTAAGCTGAACAAGACTTTCCTCAAATCTGCAGTAGAATAGCGCATCCTCACCCTGTACTCTGGAGCAGGCATGCAAAGCATTTTATTAGTGAGGGGTGATTTCCATCGCACTAATTCAATCTCTACATCTACGGATTTATTTTGCTTCGTTGCAAATGCTGTCCTGGTCTCTTCGGAAACTTCTATTACTAACTCAGGCACGAGTGGTGGAATCTCTTGCGGAGCAGTCGCGACTGGATGTAGAGGTGTTTATTTATCAAGGTCAAGCACAAAAAATACTCTTCATCTGGGCTGGGCACCTCAGTCGCATTTGCATTTGTTGGCTCTTCTAGAACGTCCCTCTTTATCTTAAGCACAAGCCTTAGATTCGTTAATAGAGCAGTTTAGTTGCCTTTGTAGGTGCACGTATATCAAGAGGGAGCAAATTTGCTATAATAGCTTTCACTACCTCGGAATCCATGGCTTCCTATTGGTTGGCAGTGTTGAGCAGCTCGTTCTAAACGACTTCTAATGTGTTGCGACTCGTGCTCGGGAAAATTTGACCAAATATATGAGCTTGTGCTGCCACTTAATGAAGAGCCTAGGCGTCTACAGTGTCAAGAAGACTGTGGATATTTAGATGGTTTTTGATAATGTGCCTGAGGTGAGGAGGCTAGGAGCCTGTCTTTAGATGTTCGCATATTTTACAAGTCAAGCACTGCAACATATGCCAACCCAAGAGATTTCGGGTGATTTCTTTATCGTTCGTAGTCCTCTAGGGCCCACATTCCTCGCCCCATATAATCCTCGACATTGGTTTCGTACAGTGTGTTACGCATGCTTCCATCACGTCATCCCTTTACTTATGGCATGGGTGCAACCTGCTGCCGATTCGACATGCCACCAAATTCCTTAAATGCACCCATTATTCGCTGTTATTACGCAACTGCAATAGGCTGCATATCAGCGCTGTAACGGGGTGATATAGTGCATAATTCTGTCTTTCTTCTGGATGCTCTATACCACCTTGACTTGCCATCATCAGTCACAAATTTACTTAGAATACAAGAAATGGGTCAGAATGACTGCCTTGATCCGCCTCTTCTACATCTCCATTAATGTCTTTTGATGCCACAACGCATTTCGCCATGGAGACCCACACGTAAGTCTGCATTGATATGCACAAGTTGAGAGTGGCTCATCGACATTGGACGGAAGGGCCGAACGATGACAGGCTTAAGCTAGAATTGCATTACCCCCAACTAATAACTATTATATGCTTCAGACAAGCATTTCACCGTTGCACCAACGAGCACTGCAGTGGCTGCAATGTCGTCGGGCAATTCTTTTAAAGAAGCCTACATCTGCATATCTCGTTTTGCACCACTTTCTTGGGATTGACTGTGCTAAATCGTGTGCCTCTCAAGCTGGGTATTTGCAATAGAAAAAGTAAATATTACTCATGAACTTGGAACGATTTTTCGTTTGTTGCATTGTACTCAGGCAAGCAAATTTGTTGCTCTTACCATTGACATTGGTGATGAGAGCACAGGAAGTTACTTGACTGCTGAGCGGAGAAATGAAGTCAAAAGCAAAATGGCACCCCACGTTGATGGCGCTGCGGATGCTGACGGGGTTTTACTTCTAAATAGAAATTGCAGAGCGGAATTTATATTCGACGACACTTGCCTTTGTCAGCAATGTGGAGAGAAGCCACAAATTTTGTAACTTACCAAGTTGGATATGAACTTTGGTTCCGCCCTGCATTGGCATGCGCAAGTTTCCCTCCCTTCTCGACCTCCAAAAATCACACGACTAATACAGTAGCACAGAGCACTTGAAAAAAATTAATACTCAATTTTCACTAGTAATGGTTTGGCCAGTACGAGTGTTTGAACGCTCGTATGAAGTAACTACATCTCCAAATCGTTTTACGAATTTGCCTACTCTCTGAACAGTGTTGTGGAATTATAAAATGTTAAAACTCACCAATATCCATTTACTTGCAAAAATTAGTGTTACCTAAAAAAGCTTATTTCAAGCATTGCCAGAAACATCTAGCCTGTCTAGAGGCTCAGAGTTTATCAACGAAAACTGCATCACGACAATGAATAGTCAATTCGAGGCTCTGTACTCAGCCACCAGTCGCGGTTTACACAAAGAGGACATTTTATGTTTGGACTAACGAGGTGAAGCAGTGTATGTCCTACGGCAAACATAATAATCATTCATTAATGGTCATCATAAGCCATACTGGGTTAGACAATTTGGCCACTGTTACCTTTTGTGGTACTCTCTAGCACTGGGTGTTGCAGACAGATCTGTTACAATTCTTGTCAAAATAGAAGTCGCTCTGACTGCCAGGTATATTTCACAATTTTGCATTGTTTCAAAAGTATATTGTTCTTTCGGTTTGGGCCCCCTTAGTCTCCGTAATCAGAGGTGACATTAAATCCTCACATAGTCAATCAAGAAATTGCAATTTCGTTTGTTGCATAAATTTGCCACAGATACTAGGGGAGATAAACTGTTGGTATTGAGGCAGTTTTTCAGTGCTGTAGCAGTCAAAAGCGGATCCTGTAGTATTGCATCTGTGGTGTCTCATTAAATTATGCACCTTAAATAAGAATATAGTGGAAGGATTAAATCAATTAAGCCGCAACTTGGAGCATTTTCCGCTCACAACGGCGCATTGAAAGGGTGTCTATTTTGATCCACGGCACATGATGTGAATGGCACACCCACAAGCGCAAGAATAATTAACAAATCCAGGTAGCATTATGCTCATGAAAGGGTGCACCAAAATCGCATGTGGAATACATTGTCTTATTCACTTACGGCGCTCATGTCATGGAGCACTTCAATCCAGTCTAAGCGCGGTTTATCTTAATGGCCACTTTTGCGCATGGAGGGCTTAGTAGTAGGAAATGAATTGCCATTCGCAAGATTGTACTACCATTTTGAGTATTTGAGGATGTATTGGCCGGCATGGTTGAAATCGTGCCAATGTAGGGAAGTCGGCGGAAACGACGTGAAGCTCGATTTCACTCTGTCAACAGTTAACTAATGTCGCTCCAACACTGCATGCATACGCAGTGTTTGTATGACATCCTAATCCTATCAGCCAGAAATGCAAATAAATGAGTACAACACATATTGCCAACTTGATTTTAAAAATCACTTTTTGTTATATTGCAAGGTAAGCTCGCCAGCTAGCACGTTTAACTACCACATTCTGCAAAGACAATAAAATTGCTTTATCAAATAGAATGTCAGCATTGTATTTCAAACAGTAAGCATTTACCACCAACAAGAAAGAGGCTGCATGGATCAGGATGTACTTGAAGAAGTAAGCCAGGGCATGTCTTTGTCAAGAAATTTCTTATAAGAGCTTCGTACGATTAAATTATGGCAGTATCTATCGCTCGAAAAGCAGCATGTAGAATGGAGCTGACATTATTTAGCATTGCCTATTCCACATCAAACAAGACTTGAGGATATTCTGACAGCAATTGACGTAAAGCTGTCACTTTCTCGTATCCAGTCCAATTCACCAACTGCGCAAAAGGGGCCATTTTCGACTGCACCGTCGCAAGGTCCTCATCTGTAACAATGGACAATCCCGTTGTAGATGTTTTGGTAATTCTTCCGTAGACTCATTTATCAACTCAGGAGCAGGAGCTGGATTAGTTGGTGGAGAAGTCGTGGTTGGCTCTGTAGGTTCATTTTGAGCAAGATAGAACTATTTCGCTGCGATAGCTTGCACTGCCTCAGGGTCCATATCTGCCAAGTATTCGGCGAATTTGGGCACGTGTGCAGCGACGTATTGAAGCGTCTGAGCATTCATGTTGTCAAGAAGACTGTGCAGACTTTGATGGTTCCAGTTTATGTACCGGACAAAGCCCGGCTACTTCTTCAACAAGACATTGGCAAACTGGGTGGGAATATTCGACATAGATGACGTAATGAATTGCACATACTTGGTCTCCATAATATTTGGATGGTCAGCCACCTCAGTAGCAGGTTTTGGCATGTTAGCATCAGGTTCCTTCACTTTAGGCGCCTTGTTGGGCATATTCGGCATTGTCGGTTGACTACTGACTGGATTGCCACTGAACAAAGTAGCATTGATGTTGGGTATATGTGCAATCATCCACTGCAGCAGTCTTGCATCCATACTTGCCAATCGTCGAATGCAATGCATATGAGTGAATACTGGAAGCGTAACTACCGACTCCTGGCACGTGCACCAATGCTGATTGAAGAAGCACTGAATCCACCTGCATGAGAATTTGATTCAAGTTGGGCATGTTGAGGATTATTGACTAAAGTACACGTTGATCCATGTTTGACGCCAAAGTGGGAGGAGTTGGCAGTTGAGGCTGTGGATTCATTAGTCAATCAGACAATACGACGTCATTTATAAGATTGGGGTCAAAGACATACCCACCATCTAACGACGGAGGCACACGATGACCACATATTTGCAGACACCTCATGATCACTGCAACTTCTAGGTCTCGTATCTTACCAACACCTTCCCACTCACTGCCATATCCATTGCATATTCCTCTTCCATCATTACCCCTTCCCCCTGCTGACTGCGTGGCGCTTTGCACTTTGTTACACAACTTTGCAACAATGTGCAATTTCGTTGGCGGCTTCAACTCCTTCATCACATCTCTGAAGTTTGCCAACTTGTTGAGCATGAGTGTTATAGCTTCGCCATCAAGGCTGGTCATCATCTCATCAATGCTTGGTGTTGACTCAGTGAGCATTGTCAGATCCTTAGGATTTACTCTGGCCACAAATTCCCTCATCACTCTAGCAATCACTTGCTTACCATAGCCTACACTACCCCATTACTCCTGCATTCCTTTCTGTGGATAGGCGGGGTTTCTGCAACTAAGACACGATGACTTGGAACACGTGTAGCCGCAGACACCACCTCGACAATTGTAGCCAGCATTTGCATTAGAATGCCACACAGGTGCCTGATAAGACGGAAAGGTTGGATGTGATGGAGAAGTCAAGCCACCAACTACGAGACAATTTACCGCAATGGCTAAGGCTCTGAACGAATCCATTGCAGCGATGTGATGTTATGGACGTTAATGTGTTCTTTTGTAGACATAAATGGAAGAGTGTTCCATGATCTCACTCACATCGTTGATTTTCGTTGGCCTAGTCACACCTCACTAACCCAGATTAATCCCTCCATCGGTAACAATAACCCCATATTAGACTGTATTACCAATGTAACATGTTGGTTTGGAAGGCCATATTTACTCAAGTACTGTGATGTCTACGTTGTGTCGTACCTTTATGCACTTAGAACGTAGCAAAGCTAAACTAGTAGGTTTATCTTACCTGGTAGACTATTTGGATTGTCAGTACATGTGAATTTGCAATGCTACAGCTCATTTTTTCGAGCAAATGCCTTCATAACCAATGTCTTACAGGATCTACATATACTGCCGACCAACTCAACCTCAAACTCAGTGGCATGCTCTAATCGCGCTTTGCTGATGGGAGGATTAATTTGACTTTCCTAGCAAATGCTGAATTGCATCTACTTCTCAAGCGTTGTGACAGCTCGCAAATGCATGCTGTCATATAAGTGGCACAAATGCAACTCCTTAAACATAAATCTTATTATTGTAAATTACAAGGACATTAGGTGTCTGCCTAATAACTCTTGAGAATGTTGATGCAGTTACCACTGCATTATTCAGTCTGTTTTCTGGTTTCGAGTGTGTTTAGCGAAAGTTTAATTGAACTTAAAAGGAGTTTTTCACTTGTACTAGCCTTAGACTACTGCAATTTGCTGCATCGTACTCCTGGAAGAAATAAACGTACGATATTTTGCTGTTGCCTTCTGTAGGAAAGCAGTACAACCTCCACGGAATGTGCCATGCACTCTTTAATCATTGGAAAAAAATTAAGTAGCGGCTAGAAAAATAACAATTAAATTTACTGTCTATTTGTGCTCATCTACGAAGCCACATTTTTATGCATGAATCAGCGTTATTAAATCAAATTATGCATTAAAATTTTTGTTGGGTTTGTGCTTTGCTTTCTACACTATCTGCCTTTATCCGATCAGTTCCGATTGGTTAGGTACTGTTAAGAAATATGCTTTAATGCCTCACGTTGTGATTCATGGCCCAGCGAGCAGATCCTCCATTTGACGCTAATATTCCCTAACATTGACTGCTCCCACTCGCTGCTATTCAATGTGATGTTTCCATCTTTACCTCGACGACGTGGAGTGCCATTGGAGACACCACTGCTGACGGACAGCCAACGTCTTGAGGGAAGGTTCAGGTGCTACCTTACTATGCTTGGCGTGGTATCGCAGGTGGGGTAGATGCGAGCCCCAGTCGCCAGGATAGTCAAGTCGGTGATCTTCTACAATCCTCACCATATAGGTGGTACAACAGTTCTCCAGGAGTCATTAATATGTATAGCTGATGCTGACATCAAATAAGTAGGTTGCCATCTCAAGCCTTATGAAAAGCGACTACACAGGAGAAATTGGAGGGCAAAACTCAAGGTCTGACAAGGGCTCTGCTACAGACGAATATGTGTTTAAGAAGAGGTTTTCTCGTTTTCTTCCTACATGCTAGTATTGCTGAGCAACGGCGGCTCCGGCTGGCAGCCTGTTGCCATGTTGAACCTTGAATAACCATGCACTGCATATTCTAAGCAACCACTGGTTTTTCTATTCCATCAAGATATTTGTGCTCAACCTTTACGTCCTTAAGTACGCCTCCATTGCTGGATATGTATAACGGAACTGTTAAAGCATGCACTTCATTGACGCAATAGCATCGTATTAGTGGGCAGTTACGACTATGCACACAAATTTTCCCCACAAAAAGAAACTGACTAAGCACTCAATTGACATGACTTCCTTACAAGCCCCTATATTTGAGTAAGCAAGAGAATAGACGCGTGTGCACTTGGTTTCAGTCTAGCCAAGTTGTGGAACTTGATTGACCTTCACTCTGTAGGTAGCATCAGCTGACCTAAAGTACGTCTTCGTGTTGTATCAGCTCATCAGGAGATGATAAGTGGGAGCGAGGCATTCTGAAATGTTGGAGTTCCGACAGTAAGACGCAAATCGCATTAATTCGTTACGGGAAATAAACTGGATTGCAGGCAACTCCAACTAAGGTGTAGTTAAATGCGTGGCAACAACTACTACGAAATATACTGCAATGAAATTGGGCATTAATTTCACACTGATGGCAATAATAAAAGGTGTCAATTGTATCAGGTGGGATGCAAGGTTACCACCAGCCGATAGAAGAGCAGGTCTGGAAGTGAAAATGCCGAGGTTGCGAGTTCAACATTAAAATCCATGCATTTACATATATGTATACGTCTTCAAAAACCCCAAGACACAAAGCGTTGATTTAGGCACTGAAATTGCCGTGCGAAAACAAAAGCCTCAATTGCCAAGTAAACAACTTCACATTCCTCCTCATGAACAGGGTGATAAAGTTTGTCTGTGCGTTAGTCTACTCCACAATGATTCATCCTGCTCAGTGAATGAATTCGGAGGTACAAGAAGTTGGTACCATAAATCGTATGAAAGTGTTAATGCAAAATTCATTCGATTTGTGAGTCCTGCCTAAATTTTGTTCCCATTCGTAATTTGCTTCAATATATTTTGGTTGTTATTTTAGCTTAAGTTTTACCTCAAAAGGATAGCATGAATGGGGGAAAAACGGGTGTAGACGGTCGAGATTTTGACAACGTTGGTATGAATTTGGCAGTTGCTGCTAGCATCCAGTTTCGGTTGAAATGACGCGCCTCAATAATTATGTGGCTTTATGCTTACTCGTGCTTTACTGGGAGAGCAGATGAAATGAGCGTTTGGTAGGTGCCACTTGGTCAATATCTAACTAACATGCCTAGAGTAATGAGGAATATTCCGTCTAAGTGGGCATTAAATAGAGCTGTTGACCTACAATGGGTCGTATATTCGCAGTGTTCTTCGGGTACACGCTGCTAGAAAAACAAAGTCTGATTAGGGATTCTTGCAGCAGAAATGAATTACTCAATTTTGGCCTAGATGCTTTTGTCCAACGTACTTTGACATCAGCATTAATAATGCATAAGTCCGCGCTTAAATTTACTGACCATTTAGCAATGTAGCAACCGGGTAAGGTAGCACTCCAACCTTCCCTCAAGATGTTTCGTGATTGCTAGTGTTGGAGGGTGTTGGCTGTCCGTCAGCAGTAGTAGTGTCTCGAATAGCACTCCACGTCATCGACGTAAAAACGGATACATCACACTGATTTGTACCTTAAGGTAGGGCTACGTAGATGAAAATATATAAAAGGCAAATTTCACCATTGCTTTAGCAAATCGATGCCATAGATACAGTGAGAGATTTAATAGTGGTTTATCCAATGACGGCTGCCTAAATTTGAGTAATATCAAAGCTCCCCGTTGTAAAATTACGAGCCGCTCACGCAAACCATTCCATCTCCAATCAATGGTCTATCTATTCCTCAAAACAGGAAGACATTGCTGTATTCTACGCAGTAATGATTCATTGCAGGCATCTACAAAACTCGTTGAATCACAAGGCAGAAGAAATACAGGACAGGATTACTGCCAAGGGTAAATAGCTAAGGCTACACTGCCGTTCATAAGGCGGAATCAAGAGAGCTAACCGAAAATGGAAGGCAGGACGCCACCAAGATTCAACATCTCAAGAGGTTTTCTGAAGAGCACGTCCTTCGCTCCAGCAAGGTTATCCTTCAATGTGGGTGGATGT